ATAAAAATCAAACCTGATTTTGAAGTTGGACTTGGCCAGTCTTCTCCAAATTCAAAAATGCTGTTAGAAATAAAATTCAGAGTTTCTGTCTCATATCAAAAGGCCATTGGTGTAAGACAGAAGAAAACAAAATCTAGGACTACTATTGTCTTAAATTTATTTTCTCTAAAATCATAATTGTCCTCATACTTAATTTCATCCTTATTGTTACCTTTTCCTCTGTGTTTATCTATTAAAGTTAAACTTTATGTGCTGATATTAATGTTTAAATCTTTCCCAGTGAATGAAAAATTTTCTAACAGCAATCTTTGAACTCTCCAGAAAAAAGATGGGGCCCCACTTCATCGATTCCACTTGTTTCAACCTGATGTTTTTGAACTAGAAAACACTACCCTAAAACCGCTTTGGGACTATAAAGCTCTAGACAACTTCAGACTAGGTTAACTGAAACAGTGTACCTTCTTATTCCATCCAGGCCAGAGCTTCAGATAAGAACTTTAGTCAAGCATCTCTCGCCACACAGAGACTACCTACAAATTTATAGCAAGTCTTCTCAAGACTTTTTGTTGCTGTAATTTTTTTCCTACAGAATCCCATGGAGTCATCATCATCCCATTTCAACAGGAAGTAATCCTAAGAAAACAACATCCCCTTTCCCTACTGTTAGCATTAAGAGTATTTTGGATTTTTTCTTTCTTTTCTCTCATTGCTACAAAAGATACAATTCACCTGTTTAGGGTTGGTTTTAGGTTATATAGGGTTGGGTATGGAAGGTGATGTTCAGACTCAGGTATCTCTTTTAGACAAGTTTAACAGTATGGAGGAGAAAGGTATGGTTAGAATGGGATATAGGTAGATTAACATATTTTCTAGTGAACTAACTTTAGAAACTGTTAGCTATAGATAACTTAAATCATTTGATTCTTGTATATTGACTCTTTAGGGACTGCTTTCTGTTTACAATGTTTTGCACACAAATATAAAACTATCCTGCTGTATATACATTTTGTATATTGATACAACTTAGGATATTTCATCATATTGCACTTTACAGTTCTACCTCTAGTCAAGACATTTTAGTTATATCTCTATTATTGAGAATTATATTTATGTATATAATTACATTTTTTGAAGTCCTTGCTAAATTATTTTGGGAAGCTTCAGCCATTGTACAACTACAAATTTGAGAATTACAGATTATTATCACCCATATTTCTTAGTCAGACATAGATTTGATTGTCAAACACTTCATAGACCTAAAGAATATGGCATTTAAATGTTTTAATATTAGTATTCTGTTGACATGAGACACAATTGCTCCTGACAGCACCAAGCTATTCCTGAGTACATGTTGGGCACTGATGACACTCCTTCTGGAGTTCATTCTCTCCTCAGTTATTGGCCTCTTGGCAAAGAGCTGCCTCCACCTTGACTGCTGACATTGGACAAGCTGTCATACTGTGTTTACAGAAGACAAACATTAAAGACTGCTGAACCTTGGTAAGACATTCTTTCAACCTCCATGCTTCTGTGTTGGTCAGTCAGATACTCTAGGCCTTAGGCAAAGCTGATTGCCCCTATGCTGCTGTGAGACTCTGGGTGACTGTCCAGGTAGCCTGCTGTTTCTGCCATCCCTGCACCTTTTGGAAGTTGCTTGCCTGCACTTCATGCTTACCCTAATATTGTTATCCTCCTCAGGTCTTTGATGAGGTTGAATATTAGACTGTCATAATTATTGTTCTTTCTTCCTAGATAGAAATATTAGGTACAAGACTTAAACTTTCCAGTTAGGAAAGCCCTATAGTAATCTCTGTTATGTCTTTACCCTAGGACTGGATATGTAGTTCTTGCCATTTGCTCCTGTTGCTTCACTGGCAATAGGTCTTAAGGGTGTTTGTTCTTACTTTTCCTTCTCCTAGAGCACAGTTGAATTTTGCCATTTTTGTATATTGTTTTGTATAAAGCCTGATTCTTGTCTTTATACTAACAGGGGAATTGTAGTGAGACATCCGCCCTGCCTGTACCTGTAGCTCTGACCATGCCAGTTTGGGCATGGTCACGGGTGTAGATGTGATGTGATGCAGAATGGTTTTAGGTCTGGGGTTGGGACACAGGTGGCTCTCTCTTGATTTAGAATGCAGCCTGGGTGGATCCTTGGAGTGGGAGTTTGTAGCAGTTATCTGTTTCTTATATAAGTGCCTTCTCCCCAAATAAAGTTATATTAACCCATATTGAGCCTAGTTCCTTGAATCTTGTTCTATACATCCATACAAGGCTTTCAAGAAAACAGATGTGCAGACATATTTAGTGTACATAGAATATACAATATAACATATCATGAACATAGCATGGATTAGGTTATAGAATAACTACACCTTATAGATAGCCATATGTTGAATTGTAAGTGATAGTTTAATGCTGTAGATGAATTTCAATATCCACAAAGACACATATATTGACTAGATGGCTCTGGTCAATTATATTTTTGGACATGGCAGAATATTTAGAAGTTGATCTGTGATCCAAGGAAGTTTAATCACCAGAGACATGAATTTCCATGGAGTATTAATAACCCAAGTCTTTCTATTCTCTCTATATCCTGGTTGTCATAAAGTGAGCATCTTCCCCTGATTTGTATTCCAACCATATTGTACAATGCTGCTCCAAACAAGGAAAGCATGGCTGTGTGGCCAAGTATCGAATCCTGTGATACTGTTATACAAGATAACCTTATTTTATTTAGTGGTTGATATATCTACACAATTTTTATGGTAGAGAAATCTAATGTATTTTCTGAATATATATCTTTTCCCCCCAAGGTAATTGCATTGAACTCTTTAGTTTTTTTTAAGTTTATCATTGTTTTGCTTTGTTAAATAACAGGTCTTAAGGCAGTCTCACTATGTGCACCTGAACAGCCTTAAGCGCCTGGTTTTTCCTTCAACCTCCCTGACTTCAAGACTGCAGGTTTGCTCCATCACAGCTGCTTTTCATTCAAACTTTTAACATCGTAGAATTTGGCTTTATATGCCTAGACTTAATATTGATTTATTATTTTGAGATTTTATGTATTAGGAGTTAATAAAATTTAAACATGGTGTAGCTATCCTAATATCTGACAAATTAGACTTCAAACTAAAATTAATCAAAAGAGAAGAAGAAGGACATTTCACATTCATCACAGGAAAAATCCATCAGGATGAAGTTTCAATTCTGAACATCTATGCCCCAAATGCAAAGGCACCCACATTCATAAAAGAAACATTACTAAAACTCAATCACACATTAAACCCCACACACTTATAGTGGGAGATTTCAACATCCCACTCTCACCACTGAACAGGACCCCCAGATAAAAACTTAACAAAGAAACAAAGGAACTAACAGAAGTTGTGACCCAATAGAGTTTAACGGACATCTAAAGAACATTTCATCCAAACACAAAGAATACACCTTCTTCTCAGCACCACAAGGAACCTTCTCTAAAATCAACCACATACTTGACAATGAAGCAAACCTCAACAGATAGGAAAAAATTGGCATAACCCCCTGTATCTTATTGTACCACCATGGCTTAAAATTAGGATTCAACAACAACACAAATTGCAGGAATCCCACAAACTCATGAAAATTGAAGAATGCTCAATTGCATCATTCCTGGGTAAAGGAAAAAATAAAGAAGTCAAAGACTTCTTTGAATTCAATGAAAATGAAGGCGCTACATACCCAAACCTGTGGGACACTCTGAAAGCAGTTATAAGAGGAACGTTCATAGCACTAAGTGCTCACATGAAGAAACCGGGGAATAGCCACAGTAGAGAATTAATGGAACCCCTGAAAGTTCTAGAACAAAAAGAAACAAACTCAACCAGGAGGATTAGATGCCAGGAAATAATCAAATTGAGAGCTGAAATCAATAAAGTAGAAACAAAGAGAACAAAACAAAGAATCAATGAAACAAAGAGTTGGTTCTTTGAGAAAATCAACAAGATAGGCAAATATTTATTCAACCTAACCAAAAGACAGAACATGCTAACTAACAAAATCAGGAATGAAAAGGGGGACATAACAATAGACACTGAGGAAACCCAGAGAAGAATCATCAGGTCATTCTTTGAAAACCTATACTCCACAAAGTTGGAAAATTTAAAAGAAATGGATGATTTTCTGGATAGCTATCACTTACCAAACTTAAATCAAGAACAGATAAGCAATTTAAATAGAACTATAACCCCTAAAGAAATAGAAACATCCATCAAAAGTCTTCCAACCAAAAAAAGTCCAGGACCAGATGGTTTCAGTGCAGAATTATAACAGAAATTCAAAGACGCGCTAATACCAATACTATGCAAATTGTTCCACATAATAGAAGCAGAAGAATCAGTGCCAATCTCTGTTTACTAGGCTACAATTACCTTAGTACCCAAACCACACAACGTCACAACTAAGATAGAGAACTACAGAACAATGTCCCTCATGAACATTGATGCAAAAATACTCAATAAAATACTGGCAAATGGAATCCAAGACCACATCAGAAAAATCATTCACCACGATCAAGTAGGTTTCATCCTAGGGATTCAGGGATGGTTCAAGTTGAACATCAAGTTTTACTGTGACAATGAAATACTCCATATACATACTAAGGACTCTCAAAGTGTCCACAAATACAAAATGTAGGGAACATTCCTAAATATACAATAAAATTTAAATCTTTTACCCTATCATCCTTTCTTTAATTTTTCATTAAATTGACTAATTTATTGACCTTTCTTAAATGCTTTCCCACAACTTCATGAAATTTTTTAACAATATTATGAATTGTTCCAATTAAGCAAATATTTCTTCAAAACCTTTCTTTTGACAAATTATTTTGGATAGACATTAACTATTTTCTAACTGTCCTGTCCCTCATTTTCAGATTTCATTGATAAACAACTGTCATTCAGGCAACATCAGATGGCTATGGTACATGCAAACATTTGGTTACAATCACTTACTGGAGGTGATGGGAATCTGTAAAGACAGGAGCCCCTCAGGGCAAGAAAGACAGGTGTGTACACACGATCCTGGAGGGATTCCTGCTCCCGTGCTTCGCACCAACCCATGTAGACTATCTGCAAGAAATTAAGTACTGTTAACTGCCAAACTACACTTTACATATTGTAGAATATTTGTGTGTCTTGTGCTGTTATAATTTCATATAAAATTACCTGATTGATTAATTCCAAAGTCCACTAAACCAGTCTTCCCATCTGTAGTGGATATGAACTACTCAAAGGATTTTGTCTCTGTGTATTTGTCACACCAATTGGCATGAGCTACTTTTCCTCTCCCTCTCTCCCTCCCTCCTTCCTTCCTTCTATCTGCTCTTAAAATGTTTTATTTGTGCTATTAGCTGAACTTTCTAATTATTTATATTTGTTACAGCTGAATGTGCTCATGACATAAAGCATGAAAATGAGCGATGAAATGCCTTTTCTGCCATCTCTCCACTAGGATGGAGCACCACATTCTCTGGCGTCATAAGATAGGATGTTTAGTGTCCTTGTTCTGAGTACTTGCCTCAGGTGGTAGAGGATATGCTATCGTTTTTTTTAAAGCTTAAAAGAAATTTTGAGATTCATTTTTCACATATCAATTTTCAATGACTGATAATAGTTCTGGGTCTTGTTGACTAAGAGAGATCCATTTCTAAAGGAAAGTTATGTGCTATGCACTGCTCCTCATGCTCCACAAATTAATTTCTGTGAGACTCAAATACACACAAATATATTAAATATTATAGCTTTGCCACAAGACACTTCACTGATTCCATATTTGAAGATACTTCTTACCTCACAAATTTACTTTTTGATTTAATGATTTATAAGATACTTATTTATGAACTTTTTCTTTGCTATAATATCTGCTATGACCGATGGAATATGAAACACAAGACAAAGTGAAGATTGGCTTAGTGACCACCACACCCCAGCCATGTGTAATGGTGAGAGTAGCAGAACTCTCAGCTCCTGTGTCATGACTATCTAATTGCCAATGCCTAAATACAGCTCACTCCAGAGGATGGGTTCTTTCTCATGTCCACACCTGCGTGTAAGAGGCAGGTGTTTATGCAGCATCCATGGTAGCAGTTGAAGAGTGGCAATGCATGGATGTGCACAACACTTTCTGCTTACAAACAGGTGACATCTACTTCCCATTGCATTATTTTTACTATCTAAAATGAACTGGAGTGTCCATTACCTTAGTTTATATAATAATCCCATTGTGATTATAAAGGCTCAAATTTAATTCCTTTAGGAATTCTGATTTTTGTGTTCTTAGAGTATTAATTTTTTAAAATTTATACTATAATTGAACTCTTCATAGACCTTTCAATGGTTAATGGCACCATAAGATCCAAGTACAATGTTATTTGGATTTATTTTTATACTATCCATTATAATTAATAGAATGATATCAAGCATTGAAAATAATGAAGCTACTTTCATCATAATAACATTTAGCTATGTATATATTTAAACAAATGTATATATTTGTATATATACATACATACTTAAGCATATATTTGTAATCACATATATATGTACACATATATGTATATAATATATATTTATGCATAAACATTTGTGTTTAAAAATATATACAGTTAGATAGTATTTTTCTGCTTTTTTTGCCAACTTGAAATAAGCTACAATCATTTAAATAGAAGGATCTTCAACTGTGAAAATTCCCAAGCATATTGGCCTGAGGGCAAATCTGTAGAGCATTTTTAAATTAATGCTTGGTGTAGAAGTGTCCAGTCTGCAATGAATGATGCGACCACTGGGCAGATGTTTCTGGATGATATATAAAAAAAAACATACTGAACAAGTCAGGAAGAATTAATGAGCAAGCAGTGTTTTTGCTTGGCCTCTGTGTCAGTTGTTGCTTCCAGATGCATTGAGTTCCTGCCTTGGTATTTCTCAGTTATGAAGTGTGATCTGAAATAAACTCCTCCCTGTGTTTCTTTTAGTCATGTTGTTTTATCATAGTAGTAGAAACTCTAACTAATAGTGAAATTGTTTACAGAAATATGTGATATTGCTGTGACAGACTTGAATGTGTTTAACTAAGACTTTGTAGGAGGACTTTGGATCTTTGGGCTAGAAAAGTCATCTGAGTGTTTAGTGTTGTGGGAAATAAGTTAAACTTGAGAGCAGTCAGATTAGTATTTTGACTAGACTCTTTGATTTTGATCAACTGGAGCAGAAGACTCAGCTGTGGTTAACAAGAATCTAGCATCATTAAAGCAAAAATTTTCTGGAAAGTTCTTCCTCAGGGTAAGCACAGAGTACATGTGGTCTAGAGAGGCAAAGGATTTACCTCATTGCACTAGCCAAACATGGTAAAGGGTAAGAGTTTTCCAGGTAGCACCAGTTTTGAAAACTTAAAGTGGTCATGAAGAGCAGTGGAGGCTTGGCATCTCACAGGTCAAAAGAGGGCATTAATGAAGGTTCAGTCACAGTTTAAATAGAACTCTCAAGTCATGGAGAGAAGGCAAGGCTTGGTACCACATGGTAGGGTGGTGCCAATAGCTTGGAGAGAAGTTATTGATGATGGTGTAGCTCAGTTTCCAGGTAGACCACAGCACTTTGGAGACACCAGTATAAATGGATGACTTCAAAGGACAAGAAAAGATGTGGAATGGCGCCAAGCAGTGAAACAAGCAATATGCTTTATAGGCCAGGGTCAGAGAAGTAGCCAAATGATGGCAGATGTCCTTCTGTATCCCTAGAATATATGTTTCTTTTGTTGGTTGATGAATACAGCTGTTTTGGTGAATGGACAGGCAGGATGTAGCCAGGCAGAAAGTATGGGGTGGGGGGTGGAGAATACCAGATGAGGAAATTTCTGAGAAGAGAAAAACAGAGAATGTGTCACCTGAGAGATGCCATGTAGTTACTGGGAAGATAACATGCCCAGGCATTCTCCAGTAACTCAAGACCATGTGGAGATACATAGATTAATAGAAACGGGTTAATAATTAAGAGAGAGCTAGCCAAATAAGAAGCCTGAGCCATTGACCAAGCAGTTCATAATTAATAGTCTCTGTGTGTTTATTTAGGAATGAATGACTGCTGGACCATGCAGGACAGAAACTTTCATCTACAGTCAAGCCCTTTGGAGCCCTGGTAATCATGATTCAGTTCCAGGTGTCAAACACTGAAATTTTGACACTTGAATTTTAGTTTTTCTTTCATTTGGGTGTGCCCATGCCCTGATTGATGATTCCTGTAATAAGAAGTTCTGTATTTAGTTCTTATCGTATAGGAAAAAAAACTTTGGAATTTAGAGAAACTTTGGAATTTTAGAATTTTGAAGAGGTTTTGGATATATTTTTAGGGGATTTATATATTTTATACAGGCTTTTAACTTTGAAAGGGACTTTGGTGACAGATTTTGAGCTTGAAAGAGACTTTGAATATTTTAAAGAGATTTAAAAGAGCTGGGAAAAAGAGAGGGGGAGAAGAGGAAGCGAGAGGAGGACATGGGGGAGCAGGAAGATTGAGGGGGACAGAATAGAGAAGAGCAGGATGACAGATACCATAATAGAGAGAGTCATTTATAGGTTTGAGGAGAGACTGACACTATTGAGATTTCCAGAGATCATATAACCTCCTTCTCTCATGCTATTCCTTTGTCTCCGGCACCAACACCAGAGGCAGTCTCCCTGAAAATCAACTGATTACCCCAGTGAGGGAATAAGAAAGGAAATCTGAACTTTACATTATCCAAATATAATTCCCCAGTCTTATCCCCTTCCTTGTAGCAGATCATCAGCAGGGGCCTGCCTTTTTGCTATTCCTCCAATTCGATGGGAAATACAGATTCTCTTGTCACAACCAGCATTCCTCTCTCTTGTAGTTTCTCTCACTCCCATACCCTTCTAGCACTATCCCATTCTTTCAAGTCATCTCTGTTACATAGTAAAACATTATACCCAGGACCCCAAGTGGCATTTGGCAGGGACACAGAAGCACACCCTACTGTGTAACTCACAGTCACCACACTCTCCTAACAACTGGATAAGGCAACAGAAACAAAATAACCCAAAGTCCATTAAACAAAAGCATGAACAGATATCAATACCTGGAATTACAATCATCCCAAACCCCCAGGCTTACACCCCAACACAAAAACAAAATGAATAAGAGCCATGGCAGTGTGTCTCCACTAGAGCCCAACAGACCTGCCACAATGAGTAGGCCTTGAAAGTGAAATATAGCTGAAGGACAGGAGAAGTACTTAAAAATAGTTATTATGAATGCATTCTACTATCTTAAAGACAATATGACTATATTCATTAGTGTAATCTATGAAAACACAGTCAATGAAAGGAAGTGAAGAATTCTCTTCAAGTCATGAAAGTGGCAATGTAGCCACTAAAGAAAGCCTAAAGTTAGGTAAAACTAGAAATGAAAAATTTAGGAACCTGGACTGGAAATTCAGACGCAGGCTTTACCAAGAGAATATAAAATATGGAATAGAGAATCTTGGACATTAAAGATAAGATTGTAGAAATGGATATCTTAGTACAAGAAAATGTTAATTCTGAAGAAGACTCCAGACACATGCACCAAGGAAAAGTGGAATAGTATGAAACAAAAATCTACAAATGATGGGAATAGAAGATATTATGGAAGATGATTGAGAAGAAAAAAAAGCTAGTTCAAAAGCACAGGAACACTTTCAACAAAATCGTGAAATAAAACTCAGCTAGCCTAAAAAGGAAGGGCCTATCAAGTTTCAAGAAGTATATAGACCACCAAATAGTCTGGATCAAGAAAATAAATTCCCCCAAATATATAATAACTAAAACTCTAAACTCACATAACATAGAAAGAATGTTAAAAGCTTCTAGGCAAGCTAAGCAATAGTGGAGGGACCACCTCGAATGCCCATTCCTGATAATGAACTTGATGTCTATAACCATCCGGGAGCCTTCACCCTGTGACTGATGGAAGCAGAGGCAAACACACAATTAATCACTGAACTGAACCCAAGGAACCCAGTGACAGAGAGAGAGGAGTGATAAGCAAATTGGCAAAGAATGGGCTGGCAAAACCAGCAG